AGGGCGTCTGGAGAACGAGCACAAATGTGCAAGAACCCAGGGCTGGAAGGCAGTGGGGTGTTCCTTCTGCTGCACCCCGAGGTCAGCCGTGTCACGAGGCCAGGCTGCCCTCGACCGAGGAACTGCAGAGTCCATTGCGAAGGGGCGTGCACCCAGGCAGGACAACAGCTGGGGCCACTTTTGCTTCTGAGATCGGACGAGATCAGGCGCATTCAGAGCGGCGTGGCTGAAGACTAAGAGGGCCATTTCTGGAAGCAATCAACCACAGGCACCTCAAACTCAGCAGGGTCAACACTGAACTTGGGATCTTCCCCCCAGTCAGGCACCTCTCCCAGTGTCCACACCCCAGTCAGCTTTCACAGCAAAGCAAGAAACGTGAGAGCTATCCCTGCCCTCCCGCCCCTCACTCTCCGGATCTAATGCATTATCTCTAAAATGCCCTTTGCGCCTGTTCCTTGTCCCCCAGGCTCAGACGCCAGCACTTTGTCCCACGGCGTCAGGAGCCTCCTAACCGACCTCCTCCCACCCACGGTGCCCTTCCCTGCACATCCTGTGAGCCAGTCATTGGCCTCTTTCTTTTTTTTTTAAATTTTTTTATTTATTTTTGAGAGAGAGATACAGAGAGCAAGTGGGAGAGGGGCAGAGAGAGAGAGGAAGACACAGAATCGGAAGCAGGCTCCAGGCTCCGAACTGTCAGCACAGAGCTCGACGCGGGGCTCGAACTCACAAACAGTGAGATCATGACCTGAGCCGAAGTCAGACGCTCCACCGACTGAGCTCCCAAGCACCCCTGTGGTGGTTGCCATTTTATGTATACGTTCACTAATGCCTCTGTCTGCCCCCCGAACTGAAGCCCCCATGTGAGGAGACTGCCTCCTTGTTCCATCACCCCTGCATCTCCGCCCTGCATGGTAATAAGCGCACCCCAAGGATTCCCAGGATACAAATGCAATGTTACTTTCCGTCTTGCAGGAAAACATTGGTAAAGCCCAAGGTAAAATAACTGGGTCAATACATGGGGCAATTTGAGGACACCCAGACGTCCCACTTGGCAGGTAGGAGTGAGGGATACGGAGGCCGGGGGGCGCCCAGCCCTCAATGCCGGGGAACCTCGGGACTGCGATCCTCCCAGAGCCCGGGGGGCAGCGGGCCAGGAGCAGCTGCGCTATCTCAGAACCGCTCTGCATACAGATCGGCTGTGCGCACACAGCTTCCTCTCCTTATCAACCCGCTGTAACAGAGGTGCAATTCAAACTCCAGTGGACCCGTTCCAGAAACCCAGGCTGCGCAGAACACGTGCCAAAACAGAGGCATCCACGGCTGGGGAAGCAGATGGCTAAAGGAGTCTGTCCTCCCCACCCCCGGGAGGCAAGAAAGGTCCTGGGCCAGACAGGGTCAGCACCACCCCCCTCCGCCCACCGTGCTCTGGGAAGAATTATTTGGCAGCCGTTAGTAAGTCAACAAATAAGTAGTGAGGGCCCACTGTGTGCCAGGCACCTTAGTAGGGGTGGGAGAAGCAGGAGTGAACTCACTAAACGAAACAGATACCCACAATTAATGATACTAGCAAATTAATAAATTGTAGTTGTGACGAGGGTATGAAGCAGAGACACAGGGTGCTAGGAACACACTGGATAGGAGTAGCTGACTTGGTCTAGGGATCCGGGGAAGGTTCCAGAAGGAAGTGAAATTTTAGCCAACACTTAAAGGATACCTTCAGGGACCTTTCTTTGGCCTACTGCAAAAGCCAACCCATATCCATTGTTTGCAATCAAAGAATTCCAGACGGTACAGCAAAAGTCACAAACCCAAGGTCTAAAGGGGTTTCATTTTGTTTTCAATTTGAGGGGTGCCTGGGTGGCTCAGTCGGTTAAGCGTCCAACTTCGGCTCAGGTCATGACCTCACAGTTTGTGGGTTCAAGTCCTGCATCGGGCTCTGTGCTGATAGCTCAGAGCCTGGAGCCTGCTTTGCATTCTGTGTCTCCCTCTCTCTGCTTCTCCTCTGCTCATGCTCTGTCTCTCAAAAATAAATAAATGTAAAAAAATTAATTTGAATTAGGCCTTAGGAGCAGCTCGAAGCCCCTAGTTCACTGAAACACTGGGTCTCTCTTTTGCTTTTAGTTACTTAAGTTACCTGCCTAACCCCCCAGGTCACTAGGTTTGTTATCCCTGTAGTCAGTTCACAGCTATGGATTGGAAAAAAGAAACCCATCTCACTACCTGAATGTTTAAAGACTTGGAAGATGGATGGAGTGGGATCCGTGTCCCTCTAGGCAACTCCAGTGAAAAATAGAAGGATTTATCTAGATAGAAGGAGGATGGACAGACAGATGGATCGATGGATGGATGGATGGATGGATGGATGGATGGATAGTTGGATGGATGGATGGATGGATGGATAGTTGGATGGATGGATGGATGGATGGATGGATGGATGGATGGATGGATGTATAGTTGGATAGTTAGATGGATGGATGGATGGATAGTTGGATGGCTGGCTGGCTGGATGGATGGATGGAGAGTGGGATGGATGGATAGAAGGAAGGAAGGAAGGAAGGAAGGAAGGAAGGAAGGAAGGAAGGAAGGAAGGAAGGAAGGAAGGAAGGAAGGGAAGGGAAGAAGGATGGATAGAAGGCAGGGATAGAGGGGTAGAAAGAAATGGGCTTACCAGGATGAGGCCCCAGAAGTAGGAAAAATCTGGGAGAAAAATCTGTCTTAAGGCAGACACCAGAATTAAAGGAGATGGAAACTGCTGTTTTGATTTGTGTTAGAAATAGAAATTCCCTTGAAAATAAACTTCCAGTTGGTTTTGTTTCTGCAAAGCAAATGACAGGCCGCTGCTTACAACCTCATTCCAGAAGGAGTCCACGCCACCCACCCTCAGCCTCCCGAGTCCATCTGGAAGCTCTGGTCCAATGAGCCAAGAAGCCAGGAAGGAGGCCAGGAGTGGGAAGAGGCAGAATCAAACGCTGTCAAGTAGCTATAAAAAAACCTCGAGGTTCAGGAGAAAAAGTAATCATCCTGTAATTGACTGTTTACTAATGGAATCTATTAATTTATAGCCACAAAAGAATCAGCTAATTTGTGGTTAATGGTGTTTAAAAGATAAACAACATAGATTAACTCTGCGGAGCACAGCCCAGCCCTCCCGAGTCAGCAGACAGCTCCCCGCGCGGGGGAGGGCGGACCTGGAGGCAGAGAGCGGTGAGCCTCCCTATAGAGGACCCCGCTTCACCCTCGGGGGCTTCCTCCAGCCGTGCACCCTCTTCGCCTGGAGCCAACAGCTCCCTTCCCTCGCAAAGAATACAGGTTATGAATAGCTGAGTGTGCGCTCACTTGCATCAGATACCACGCTAAGGGCTTCGCGTGCCGCCTCTGTCTCAGGGATTCCTTGAACTCTGTGGAATAGGTCCCCGTCTCAGTTCCATTTTACAGGTAAGAAAACTGAGGTCCAGAAAAGTGATGCCACCTGCCCAGGGATTCATCGTGCGCCTGCTGGGTCCTGGGCTTGAGCCCAAGGCTACGTGACCCTGGACCCCAAGCTCTCCACCAGCATTTCCCAAACCTCGCTGCTCACAACCGTCTTGTTGCCCTTCCTGCAAACCACCTGCATTTACGATTTCCCTTTAAACGGCCTCTTCTCCGCCTCTCCCCCTTTTATTTGGTTAATTTCAGCTTTATCCTTGACTATATTTTCCAGGTCTGATAAGGTAATAATATCTTTGTTTCTAAGACAAATTTGGAATAAATACCTGACTACTAAAATACACGTTTGCCTGTGTTCCTCCTTGTGATCTTGTAAACCACCAGTGATCTGAGCACTACGCACATTCTAATCATGTAACCCCCAAACCATAATCACACAGCTGTATGTGCAGCCTGCCTTAGCCAGTATCCTGCCCGCATGGTCGCATTTTACCCTCCCTGATACAACCCCCCCCCTTGAAATGCACTGGAAGCTGCCCTCATTCCGGAGCCCGCCTTGACTCCTCCATCCCACGGACATCCTTCCCTTTGATGACAGAAAATTCACGTCATTAGTAAACCACAAAAAGACAGGATGAAAATAAGGATATAGGATACGTTTCCTCAATTACACTGTCAGATCCTGGAGGATTCAAAAAACATCTGTATCTTGAAATCTAAGATCTGTGAGGGTCAGAGGGGGTGGCATAGAGCAGGTGCCCAGTGAAGTCTGGGGACGCGGTCAATGGAGACATTGATTGATTGATTGATTGATTGATTGATGGGGACACGGCACAGAGGCGGGAAGGCGTCGCCGTCGTCACCGTCATGGCTGGGGTGGGGCCGGCCTGAGTCCGGCCTGCGCTGGCCATCGGCGCTCAGAAATCACCTGGGAAGCCACATCCCCTTCTCTGGCCTCCAGCTCCACTTCGGGCCTGTGACCGGGGAGTGGCCAATGGTTGCTGATCAACCCTCATGCTGTTGGGATTGGTCCAGAAATGAGTCAGTGACCCAATCTTGGCCGGGACTTCCCTTAAAGCCATTGGGGAAGAAGCAGCCTTTGTGAACTGGGTTTTCTGTCACTTGCGACCAAAACACCCTGGAACAGCCCTTGACTAGGAGCCAAGAAACCAGCGTCATCTCCACGTGGTGCTGCTGAGTCATTTCGTCCCGCACAACTCTGCCTCAAAGGTGCTTTCCCCGACCAACCCCTTCCACCTCTCCCTCCACCTCCCATCGCCTCCTGCCCCAGTCCAGCCCCATCATGCCTCCTCGTTGAATTCTGTGTTCATGACCTTGTTGGCCCGTCACCTGTCTCACTCACTGGTGTAGCCCAGGGCGTGCAACCCCCAGGCACACGGCAGGCCCTTGCTAATATTTGCTGAGTGGTCTGACCCTGACTTCTCTGCCTGCTTTCCCTCTCAGGATCCTTCCAGCAGGGCTGGGCTTTGCTTTTCCCGCTGCTGCTCTGGGAGAAGTGTGGCAAGAGTCTCACCCAAAGGCCCTGGAGCGCCTCCCAGCAAATCAGCACTCACCCACAGGGAAGGCAGTCCGGTGATGCTCCTCCTTTCTCCTTCCTCTGCTACACAGCCTCGCCAGCCAGGAAGTCCCTCTTGATGTCTAGCCCAATCTCCGGTAGAGCCCTAGAGCCAGCCACGCCTCTCCCAGGCCTGGAGGTCAGAAGACAGCCCAGGCCCTGTAAGAGCAGGGGAAAAAAAACAGTTTAGAGTGAAAAAAGACGCTGAGAGAAAATAAAAACGCCCTCGCCTCATTGTCTCCCCATCCCCACCTTCTGACTACGAACCACACTCTTCCAGAGATGTGGGTACAGCGGGTGAGAATATATCTGTTTCATAATCCCTCTTTTGTCCAAACAGTGGCTGGGCCAATACCTCTTCTCTGATTCATCCCAACTGACATCCTTTGGAGGGAGGAAGCCGGGGTCCAAGGGGTGAACATTTCTAAACCCATTTTCCAGATGAGCTCAGAAAGGCTGGGAGGTTCTGCAGTGAAAAAGCCCACAGTAAACAGCAGAAGGGAAGCCACTTCCTCTGTAGGGTCAGGCGTCTGTCTCCTTTTAATTTTGCAAGGAAGGCAACCCCACTGCCTAGGGTGGAGGTTCTTCCCTCATTCATTCATTGGCTCCTTCATTCCAGAAGATAAAAAGCCTGGACTGAGCCCCTCCCCCAAACCCCAGGCTTCCCAGAGTCTCTCTCTCTGAGGGAAGGGCAGGAATCATCCGTCCCGTGGCCGGATCAGGGAGATTGAATAAGTCAATTGTGGAAAACATTTTTCCTAGTTTCTTCTTTCTCTTCTAATTTTATTTGTGGTGTTGCCTGACATCCAGGGACTTTATTATAAGATAGAAAAAAAAATTTTTTTTGTCTTTCTCTGGGATGGCTGGCTTCAGAGGTCTAGAAAGGGCTTCATGGGGTAGTGATTTTTCGGGCCCTATTTAAGGTTTAGGTCACGATCTGGTAGGAGTGGAAGGAGGAGTCTCCTGATCATTCCTTCATTTTACAAAAGAGGAAACTGAGGCTCCACAGTGAGTGGGGAGCCCTGACTCTCTGCCCGGCGTTGTCTCTGCTTGCAGGACTAGAAGGAGCAGAGTCCCCACAAAAAGGAAGGACAGACAGAAGACCCTTGACTGCCCAGGCTACGGCTGCATTGCCGGTGACTGTCACCGCGCCTCCAGAGTTGAGAGGTTGCTGTGTTCACCCTACATGTATAGCGTCGTCCAGTCTGGTGTCTGGCCAACAGCACACCATGGCAGTGAACCCTAAAATCCAGTCCCCTGAGAGGCTTTCCCGGGCTGATGAGGGCAGACACCACAAAGGAACAAAAAAAAAACAAACAATGATTCGACATAAACACCAAAAACTCCTGGATGTCAACAACCACAACTAATAGGGGCACCTGGACAGCTCAGTCGGTTAAGCGTCCGACTCTTGATTTCAGCTTAAGTCATGATCCTAGAGTCTTGAGATCGAATCCCAAGTGGGGCTCTGCACTGACGGCACAGATCCTGCATGGGATGCTCTCTTAATCTCTCTCTTTCTCTCTGCCCATCCCCTGTTCAGGAGCTCTCTCTTAAAATAAATAAATAAATAACTTCGGCTCAGATCATGATGTCACAGTTCGTGAGTTTGAGCCCCGCGTCGGGCTCTGTGCGGACAAGTCAGAGCCTAGATCCTGCTTCAGATTCTGTCGCCCTCTCTCTGTGTCCCTCTGCTGCTCATTCTTTCTCTCTCTCTCTCTTTCTCTTTCAAACATAAATATTTTAAAAATTTTAGTAAATAATTTTACAAAAAACCACAACTAAGAAAACTAAAAGACACAGAACTAGGTAAAATATTTCCAACATATAGAAGAAAGTAGAAAGACTCTTAAAATATGTCAAGCTCTTACAGATCGATAAAAGTGGCTAAAGACAAATGAGAGACGAGGCACAAAAGTGGAAATGCAAACAGGCAACGTGCTTATGAGAAATGTTTATACTCATTAGTAACCAAAGCAATCGAAGTGGAAACTATAACCAGAGAAGTCTCCGTGCAGCCTTGCAGGGCAGAGAGGTAGTAAGAAAGGAAGGAGGGGAATCTCGGTGGCTCTGTTGGTTGACTCTTGATTTCAGCTCAGGTCATGGTCTACGGTTCCTGAGTTCGAGCCCCACGTCGGGCTCTGTGCTGACAGTATGAGCCTGCTTGAGATTCTCTCCCTCTTTCTGTGCCCCTCCCCACTCCAAATAAATAAATAAACTAAAAAAAAAAAAAAAGAAGAAGAAGAAGAAGAAGGGAAAGACACAGTGTTTGCAAGGATGAGAGAAACAGCACATCCCGGGCTCCTGGAGAAAGACAGGCTGGTCTTTCCGAGTGTTGTAATATACGTTAAAATCCTTAAAGTTTGTGTTTCTTTTCTGTTCTGGCATTCTCCATTACTAAGGGCTTGTTTAGAAACTATGGGCAAGAAAAGAAATGTACGCCCCTGCTGTGTGCTTGGGAAAAGTTGGAAGCAGCTTTTACGTTCAACGTTAAGGAATCCGTGAGACACACTGAGACACAGATTTGCCGTGTAATGTTGTGGGGTCATGGAAAAGAACAAGGGTTCATACAGGTCATGATAACATACAGTGAAATTTGAAAGTTGGTACAAAGTGATCTGCATAGGTCATCTCGGCTCTGGAAAAAAACGCATACACACGCATGAATGCATGTGCTCAGAAAACAATCTGGAAGAAATAGTCATCAGATTGTTAACAGGGGTTTTCACCAGGAGGAAGATTTACATATATAGGGAGAGACACAGAATCCGAAGCAGGCTCCAGGCTCCGAGCTGTCAGCACAGAGCCTGATGCGGGCTTCGAACTTACAGACCACAAGATCATGACCTGAGACGAAGACGGACGCTTAACCAACTGAGTCACCCAGGCGCCCCAAGTTTGTTTTTAATTGACATTTACGAGGACTGGTTGGGGTAAGGAGACACCAGAGAGAAGAGTCCGATGCTGCTGTTGGAAATGTTAATTGCCATAAACTTTCTAGACTAATATGACAGGACTTCTCAAAAGTCGTAACATGTGTGAAGCATTTCAGCAGTAATTTTACTTCTAGGAATTTACCCTAAGGAAATAATCAGAGATGTGTACATTTAGGTACAAGGATGTCCATTGTAGAGCTATTTACAATAGCGAAAAGCTGGAATCAGCCTAAATACCCAACAATGGAGAATTGTCTAAATAAGTGTTGGTTAAGTGAAGTACTGTGCAGTCATTCATGGCGCTGTCCAATATCGAATAGGATGACAAAATGGTCTTGACATAGAGCAAAAAAAAAATCTAACATGGCATAGAAATGGGGTAGCACTATTGCAAAATACTGAACACAATAAATTATGTACAAGAGATATGATATTTGCAGTGAGAATCACAGGATGATGAGACTCCGGGTTTCAATTCATGTGTATGTTTTCCTACATTTTGCAATTCCAGGACAATAAACATGTTACCATCATCACAATCGGACTTCGTTTAAAAGGAAAAAAAAAAAATCCCAGTAACATTGACACTAAAGCAAGCTCATTATTCATGTCCGTCAATTGCGATTCCCAAGCCAGGCTGCGGGGTGTGGACATTTGCACGGCTACTTGGGGAATCAAAAGGCCAGGCCCGTGATGAAAATATGTCCCCTCTAAACACCCTCTGGTACCACCTACAATCGGTCCTGCCCTTGAAGCCGTGCCCAGCCAACCCACGCATCTTCAGAGGGCTGAGAAGAAAAGTGACCTGTTTTTAATATTCGAGACAAAATCCAGTTGAATCCAGCTGGCGTTCTCGGCGGCCGCACTTGCTCAATCCTCCCTCTGTTGTGTAACGATGAAGAATCAGCCACATTCTCAGAAAGCCCTTTGTCAAGACAGGACAGAGGTTTCCAAATATGTGTTCTGGGGCTCATCCCTTTTTCCTGTGGGGATGATCGACCCGTTTGCGGAAGATAATTAAAGTCAAAGAAAGCCCGGACTACTTGCCCTGTTGTCTGGATTTAGATCCCAGAGGATCCTGGTCCAGAGAGCTGGGTGTGAAAATTGAACCGAACCCCCTGCTGATGAGGACGAAAGATGGGGACGGGCTGCACCGAGAGAGGCTCTAAATCAAGGGATTAAGTGACTTACCCAAGGTCACTCTAGGCCAGGGGGAGGGAGGAGACCTGGCAAGCTGGCCCAGAGGGCCTTGCGGGGAACCAGGGACAGTGGCAGCTGGGGCATCTTCTAGAGAGAAAGGGGTCCCTTGGCTGATGCCTTAAGACTGGACTTGGAGGGGGGTTCTGGGCTCACTGGTGAGTCCTTAGGGTCCTATGGGAACAGCTTCTGAAAGAGTTGACGCTTCCTTCCCTCCCTCCCTTCCTTCTTTCTTTCCTTCCTTCCTTTTGTACCTCCTTCCCTCCCTTCCTCCCTCTCTCCTTTCCTTCCTTCCTCCCTTCCTCCTTCCTGTCTGCATGGCATGTACCTTCTAACACAGAGCTGTCCCGTCCAAACAATGCATACTCTATTTGTGATTTAAAATTTCCTCATAGTCACAATGAAAATCATAAAATCAAGGGGCACCTGGGTGGCTCAGTCCGTTAAGCATCTAAAGCCCGCACCAGGCTGGTACAGCCTGGGAAGGGCCAGTGTGGCCGAGGCAGCAGAGCAGGGGACATGGTTAGAAAGAAAGGTGTCGAGGCGCACGGGGTCGGCCCACACAGGGCTCTGCGCCTCCATTAGTAACAGCTGACCTTCACCGAGTGGGCGGGGTTAGATGCAGCCGCTCACTTCACCCTCTCGACAGCCCTGTTAGGAAGGCAGAGACTTTGTCCCCACTTGCAGACGAGGGAGCTGAGGCCTGGGGAGGTTACATTTCCTGGCCAGGGTCAAGCAATCAGCACAGGATAGAAGATGAGACTTTGATTGCAAGCCAGACGACTCTGGTGACCCGACTCTCCTAAACCTTCCAGGAAGCCTCTGAAAGCTTCTGCTGCCCCCAACGTCTCTCCCAAAGCAGACAGAACCTTTGATTTGCAGACAGGCACCAGCCACAAGCTGGCGGTGGTAGGCTGGCCTTCCTGACACTCCCTCCACTCCCCGCCCCCCCCAGGACCCGAGCCAGCCGCCAGGTGGAGGTCACACCCAGTGCCTGCACAGTGACACACCCTAAAAGCAGATTGAAAAAAAAAAAAGAATTTATGTCGAGGCAACTGATCTTGAGAGCCCAGGACCCACGACCTCCCTGTTTGAAAGGGCAAGCGCACGGAGTCAGTTATTGGGGTGTAAACCCAGAGGCTACTGTCTCCAGAACCAGAAAATCAGGGCCGAGAAAAGCAGTCCGAGCCCTGACCGGGTGTTGGGAAGCGGGAGTCCGAGCCCCACACCCGGGCCTGTGTGTACATACCGCCTCTAGAAGGAAAGGGAACAGCTGAGGCCACTGGCGGTGTCCAGAGTCAGCACTTGGGCAGAGACAAGGGAAGGCAAAATTTCCAGTGCTTTCTCCGGAGTCACTGCTGTTCTGTTCAGACAAAGGCAAAGTTACGTCTGGAAGGGAAAGATAGAAAAGGGAAACAAAACCGAAGATCTCACACCTGTCAGAGCTCGCAGGGCCTCTGAGCTGCGCCCTGTGACCGGGAGGGGAGGGCAGCGGTGGGACTTCCCAGGGGGAGCAGTAAACCAGGGGCTGACTGAAGGCTGGGCCAGCAGGAGCACAGGCCGGGGGGAAGGAGGGAAGGGGCTAGCTCCACCTCCCTAAGCACATCTCTCCAAGGCTCAGGGCCTCAGCCTTCCCATCTGCAGAAGGGGACAGTAATATAGGTGCTTAACGGGTTCCAGAGACCTTACCGACTTTATTCCCTTTAACCTTGACGGCAACTCAACAAGACTTTTTTGTTTCACATTTTTTCTAATGTTTATTTACTTTTGGGGGGGGGGCAGAGAGAATGGGAGAGAGAGAGAGAGAGAGAGACAGAATGCAAAGCAGGCTCCAGACTCCAAGCTGTCAGCATGGAGCCCAAGGTACGGCTCGAACCCACAAACCGTGAATTCATGACCTGAGCCGAAGTCGGATGCTCAACCAACTGAGCAACCCAAGGGCCCCCAAGTGTTTTTTTATTTCATTTGCTAATAAGAAAATCCAGAGTTCAAAAATTCAAAGGTTAAGTTTTCAAACCCAGTTCACCTGACACCAGACCTATGCCTATTAACTTTCAAATACTTATATAAATGCTTCCCAAACAGCAACAATGACACCCACGATGGTACCCACCTCATGCATAGCGCTTCCTCTGTCCCAGGTCTTCACAAATGCCTGTAGATTCTTCCGTCAACTCTCTGAATTGGTCACCGTAAAATTATCCCAGTTTTACAGATGAGGAAACTGAGGCCCAGATGGAAACAAAAACTGCTTTGCAACCATCTCATTTTCCTTTTTTTTCCCCAAGCCACTAAAGGAGACTTTCTGGACATTTCCCCCTATTCACTGCCTTACCCCACCTCGTGAAATCTTAGTACCAGACACATTATCTGTTGACATGCTATATGTAACTCTGTGCTTTACACATAAAAAGTAGGATTTTTCACCCCCAATTTTTTTTTTGGTTTGCCCGCACCTTCGTTAGAGAATGAATGAAAATAAAAAGATAAATAAATAAAAATAAAAACATTTCCAAGATCAAGTATGTAAAATTCTCTTCTGCATTCTTAGGAATTCACCACAAGTTTTAGCTTCAAGAAAGGAGGGGCAGCTCAACTATCTTCAGTTCAGAATTTTCCAGGCCTATTGACAATGGAAACCTGTGTCCCAGGAGCACCTAGAAACATCCTAGCAGTCTTCGATTTATCTTCTGCCTGACCTGGACCCTGCCCACTTTCTAGCTGACAGAAAGCGCCGCCCACTGGCAAAAGGCTCCTCCCTTCACTCAGACCCTGGAGAGTGGAGCGTGCTGTCAATCACCAGGCTCCACCCCCTTGTCACCAGGCACCACCCCCTGGTCACAGTGATTGGTGACGGGGCGGGCACTAGACAGAAACTGGGCCAATCAAAGCCCTACCCATTCAAAAGGGACCAGATGGAGAAAAACACATTAACCACCATCGCAAAATTGGAGGAAGGTAGGTATGCAAGTGCCTGAGGTCATGATCCCACCTTCTGCGGAACTGTCTAAGGAAATAAAGCTAAGCAGAGCAGTGCGAGGGCCAGAGACAGCCTTGGCTGGATCGATTCTGCATCCAGAGTCCCTGAGGGCCCCTCAACTTCCCACTTCCCAGCTTCCTTCTGGAATCCAACAGATCCCCCTTCTTGGTTTTAGCTGGTTTGAACTGGGTTTCTGTCACTTGCAACACCTCGGCAGGATTTGAGCAAACCTACAGTAAAAGAGTTTTTAAGATAGTGGGGGAAATTTTGAACATGGACTGGATATTATGTGATATTAAATTATCATTGGGGCACCTGGGTGGCTCAGTCGATTGAGCATCTGACTCTTGATTTCACTCAGGTCGTGATCCCCAGGTCATGGGATCAAGTCCTGCGATGGGCTCCTTGCTGAGCCTGGAGCCTGCTTGAGATTCTTTCTATCTCTCTCTCTTTCTCTGCCTCTCTCTCACACTCTAAAATAAAGAAAAAACATTTTAGGAAATTATTATTATTTTAGTTAAGTGTGACTGCGGTGTTAAGGTTATTGGAAAATAAACACTGTAAAGGCTACATACTGAAGTATTTTGGGTGAAATGATTCAGTGTCTGAGATTTGCTTTTAAATTTCCCAACACTTCTGACCCTGCTCTCCCAGTTAAGACAGGGGACAAAATATTTTAAAAAGAACCTCAGGATGATAATTGCTGAAGCTGGGAGCAGGTGTGCGGAAATTTCTCATCCTATTCTCAGATTTGCAGTATTTCATAAGTGGAAAGTTTAAAACTAATAAAAATGAAGAACAAAGGAAAGAAGGAAGGCTGCCGTCTTCTAAAAGGAAGCAATGATTGAGGACTGATGCAAGAGGAGTAGAAAGCAGAACATCATTCATTCATCATTCATTCATTCATTCATTCATTCACCAAATTCCGATTCATCAAACTAAACACTCCCCCAACGCCCCCCAAACACGCGGACAGGACGTTGGTCTCCTCACTCCAGCCAAGCGGAGGCCAGATGACCAGGAGTAAATGATTCAGGTTTCCGCAGCTCACAGAAGGGCCCGGAGAACTGAGCGAGTTTCTCTCCAGCCAGAACCCTTTGACAGGGCAGGGATTTGATTGGCCCAGCTTCTGTCCAGTGCCCACCCTGCCACCAATCACTGTGGCCGGGGGGCGGGGCGGGAGCCAGGGGGCGGGGCGGGAGCCTGGAAGGGGGAGGGGCATGTAGATTCAGAGCAGGGACCTGAGCGAGTCGTGTAGTGTCAGGCACAGCCTGTCTGCAGGGAGCAGTGTCCCCTGGGAGGAAGAAGGACCTGGATGTGACAGAGCAGCCACTGCAGGGGCCTTTGTCTTCATGAGAGGAAGGAAGCCATGTTGCTCAGGAATGACAAGGACTCACAGATTCCGAGAGTTTACATCTGCCAGGCCCCGTCTGCCTTGGGATCCTCCCAGTGCACCCCTGTACGCAGAGACTGACACTGTCTCCACTCTACGCTTGGAGAAACCGAGGCACAGAGTCAAATCGCTCTGCCCAGGGCTGCAGCGTTTGTGCCTGGCCATTAGGTCTTCCACACCGAAATGCTCGTCTCTACCTTCCGCAGCCACACAGAGCCACCTTTGCAAGGAACCAGGTGTGTCCAGAAGCTCTCATCAAGATTTCCGCCCTCAGCTTCCTTAAATCCTCCTCCGAGAAAAAAGTGTCCTTGACAAATTAGCAGAAGAGGTTGGGGGGAGGGGGCGTGCGGGGAGGGACACCCAACCCACAGCTGCCGTGTGCATTTTTGATGCACAGAAAATTCCCAGAACTCACTGGCCTGCTGGGCGGAGAAGCAAGGCAGGGACTGAGTGATATGGTGCGATGCCCAACGCCGGGGGAGAAACTCCAGCCCTTTGACGCTTGCTCTCAGAGGGGCTCCTGACAGGGACTGAGGACGCAGTCACCGGGGGCCCTGAAATGCCTCCTGTCCATGGCTCAGGTCTGCCCTGTCAGGCCAAGGGACCCATGGCCACTTCCCCTATGGCAGTGGTACATGACCAGAGCTAAAACTTGCCTTTCTCCCCCACCGGACTTCTTTGTCCAAGGAGAATCCAGACAAAGGCAGAGAGAGGAAAGGAGCCTGCCCACCTCCCAGCCAAATGACATCATGCCTGTGAGCGTGTCTGTTTGTGGCAAGCAGGGTGCTTTACAGTGCTGTGCACACAGGTGCTAGAGCCAAAATGCCCGGACCCTAATCAGCCCTGCTGCTTTCTGGGGACGTGATCTTGGCCAAGTTAAACAACCTCTCTTGGGGCGCCTGGGTGGCTTAGTCGGTTAAGCGTCCGACTTTCGCTCAGGTCATGATCTCGCGGTTCATGGGTTCGAGCCCCGCGTCGGGCTCTGTGCTGACTGCCAGCTCAGAGCCTGGAGCCTGTTTCAGTCTGTGACTCCCTCTCTCTCTGACCCTCCCCTGCTCACGCTGTCTCTCTCTCTCTCCTAGAAATAAATAAAACATAAAAAAAAAAAAAATTTAAACAGCCTCTCTTGATGTCAATTCCTCTGCAAAATAGAAGAGATGTTAGTGTGTCCTTCACAAGGTTATCGTGAGGACTAAAGACGCTAATATGTAGAGTGCACAGGTAGAGCTCGTGGTTGAAGCGAATGCTCAATAAAAGATCCTGCAATGATCAGTCCCCACGTGAGTTTATATGTTTTAACACTAAGCCCGGGGGGGAGGGGGCACAGATACAGCAATGAGTTATGGCATGAATGAGTGAACTAGCAAACCAATCACTGCTTTCTGAATGAACCTGCCTATTCATTTATTTAAAACCATGACCAGTTCTAATACTTGATTGGATGAATGGGATCTTCTTCACCAAGTGTGAATCCTTGGATACAGCTTAAGGTTCACTAGTTTGCCCCCAAACTAAAACCCAGGTAACAGTGAGGCCTTAGGAGTACCAGGGACCCCCAGACCCCTTCCCATTGTGGTCCGCATCCTGCCTCTCCTTGAGTGTGGCCAGGATCTGCGTGCTCAATGGAACCTTACCTCCCTGGTTATGCTGCATCACAGGGCAGAGCAGAGGGGATTTTGTGGATGTAATTAAGGTCCTGGGTCTGTTGCCTCTGAGTTCATCAAAAGGAGATTATCCTAGTGGGCCTTTTTAATTACTTTATTTTTATTTTAGAGAGAGTGAGCAGGGCAGAGGGGCAGAGGGAGACAGAGAGAGAAAGAGAGAGAATCTTAAGCAGGCTTCACCCAGTGCAGAGCTCAAGATGGGCTCAATCCCATGAACCTGGTCATGACCTGAGCCCATATCAACAGTTGGATGCTCAACCGACTGAGCCACCCAGGCACCTCCCTGAGTGGGTCTTTTCTTTTTTTTTTTTTTTAATGTTTGTTTTTGAGAGAAAGAGAGAAACAGAGCATG